CACGACCTCATTTTCGCTAGCAGGCCAAGTTTCCCTTCCCTGAAGTTACTTACTCACAACTTTACAAATATTGCACTTGCGCCATATGGAGACTACTGGAGACAGGTGAGGAAGATTTGCACAACAGAGCTGCTAAATCCAATGCGGGTGCGATCATTCAAAACAATCAGAGAAGAGGAGGTATTGAATTTAATTAGAGACATCTCAACAAAGGCAGGATCTGTGATCGACCTCAGGGAGATGATGTATTCTACAACACTTTCCATCACATCCAGGGCGGCCTTTGGTGAGAAGTCTAAACGCCAAGAAGAATTCAAGCAACTTGCCTCGGACTACTTAGCATTGTTTGGAGGCTTGAATTTCGTTGATTTGTTCCCTTCGGTTAAGTTGCTCCATTTGATCCATGCAATGAGGCCCAAATCAAGGAGGCTGCATCAGAGAGTAGATGAGATTCTTGGAAACATCATTATGGAACATAGAGCTAAGAGAGCTACCGGATGGACTGAAGCAGATGATCTTGTTTATATACTTTTGGATCTTCAGGACCATGGAGAACTTGAAATTCCCTTAACAACAGACAATATTAAAGCTGTTATCATGGTAAGTGTTTTTACTCACCTATAATCTGAAGATTGCTCAAGAAAACTAAATATTTCTATTTCAGGATGTATTTTCGGGTGGTGGTGACGCATCAAATACAGTTCTAGAATGGGCAATGGCAGAAATGCTGAAAAACCCCATAGTAATGGAAAAGGCACAGGCAGAGGTGAGGCATGTCTTTGCTGGAAAAAAATTCGTTGATGAAGCAGGCCTCCATGAATTAAAGTACCTTAACCTTGTTATCAAAGAAACCTTAAGATTACACCCTGCTGCTCCTTTGCTGGCCCCAAGAGAAAGTAGAGAGAGATGTGAGATTGATGGATACGAGATACCTGAAAAATCCAGAGTCGTAATCAATGCATGGGCAATTGGAAGGGATCCAAAATATTGGACTGAAGCTGACAAGTTCTTTCCCAACAGATTCTTGGATAGCACAGCTGACTACAAGGGAAGTAACTATAAATTTATACCATTTGGTGCTGGGAGGAGGATGTGTCCTGGCATTTCATTTGCCACTGCCACTATTGAGCTCGCACTTGCAAATTTACTGTACCATTTTGATTGGAAACTTCCTGATGGAAAGACGTCGGAAGATCTAGATATGACTGAGGTTTTCAGCACTGTGGCAAGAAAAAAAATTGATCTATGCGTAATTCCCATTCTTATCATCCCGCAAATTGAGTGATACTTTTGTGGCATCAAAACACATAATTTCTTCATCTAGTGTGGTTCAAGTTTCTTTTCATCGGTTTTCCTTTCTTGTCTGTAGACTTGTGGCAAGTTGGCATGAACTAGTACTCGCTTCATCCTTCTCTATTTCTTGTGTGGTCTTTGTGCTGTCCGGAGTTCAAAGATTGTTCTGCCTTTAAACTCCATGGAACAGCTAGCTGGATTTATAATTTTCATTACTTCTTGTATCTTATATGTTATGAAAACGCTTCTTGCCGATGATAAATAAAAGAAAGGGTTCATGTTTGTGTCAGTACATCTAACTGCTATGGCCTTCTATTGTTCAGTATCCATCCAGTGGTTTCTATTTGATCAATTCCTTGAATGCTATACGTATGCAATCCAGGCTTCAACTTTGTGCAACCATCCAGGTGTTCATGTGTATGTCACTATAATTTCAGTCAAATTTCTAGACTTCTTAAAGCTCCTAAAATCTATCACTTAACTAATATGCAGAAAGGGGAAAGTTTTAGGAGCAGAATGACACCTCTATTTAATAACAATATTCTAAACAGCATCTGTCTTCCAGTATCAGAACTCCTTAAACAAATTCATGGTCTAGTCCACAACTCGCTGATTGCTGCTCAACTCGCTGATTGCTTCTCAACTGAGACTGGTGTTTCAGTTTAGCTGGTATATGCAACCAATGAAAGAATGTGAAAATCTCCAAAATCACACTGAGATAATAGGACTGTTATTAGAGACCTGTAGAGAGGCATTAAACAGTTTGTTGGAACCTGACCTTGAGATCCGGTCAACACATGCACCAAGTGCAGACATCTTCACCATAACCCTGACAAAGTCTATTCTAAAAGGTCAATTCATCATCCAAAGCAGAGAATATTAAGAACTACAAAACGATGAGACATCTTCACCATAAACCTGATTGGTACACAGAATCTAATCACCGTTAAACTCAATCCATCGAGAATTATAAAATTCTATGGAACATCAAGAATTAACACTCATAGTCCAATTGAATATGGAAAAAGTCACAATCTTGTTCACTATATTCTGGAGGACGAAAATGCAGAGAACCAATTTGAGAAAAAAAACCGATAGGGGAAAAGAAGACACATGCCATGAACTTCATACAGCATCAAGAACCACACCCAACCCACATTGTAATTAAACAAGAAAAAACGTGGCTGTACCTCGATGAAGCTGTCGTGGAAAAAGAGGAGCAAGAGAGAGCAGCCGCAGAGTCCTTGTGCTGCGAGAAAATGTCAGCCAGTTGACTTAACGATGTCTTCAGCTGGTGAGAGCAGGTTTCGCGATAATAATCATATTCGAAAGTCAATGAAGGCGCATTTTCGCTCTTATCTTCGGAATCATCCAAGAAAAAGTCTACGAATTCTTCAAGACAAAGAAATCTTATCGGGGTTAATTTTCTCTGCGCCTAGTTTTCTGGGGTCATCCACGCCAGTATGGCAGCGATCGTGAGCCCCACGGTGGCCAACCCGCATCGTAATTCTCTTCTTTGGTTAAATGCTAATTTGGGTCCCTCAACTTTATACAATTGCATTTTTTGGTCCCATAACAATTGTTTTCACTTTTTTGATCTCTCAACTCTAAAAAATGCATAACGTTGGTCCTTCCATTAATTGGGGCTGTTAACTCCGTCCACATGGCATTTTTTATTTTTTTTTTGATGGCATGGAAAAAACAACTTAAAAAGGTGATGATATGGATAAAACATTATTCATTAAATTAAAATAGTTTTAAAATGACAATTTTACCTTTACTCCATCTTCTACCTTTGGTCTCCTCTTTGTTTATGACTTACCTTTCTCCATTCTCCACTGCTCTATTTCTCTTCCTCTTTCTTCTTCACCTTTCTCCATTCTTCACTACTCTCTTTCTCTTCCTCCTTCTTCACCTCTCTTTTGCTCTTTACCTAGATCTCGGTTCCACGGAACCCAGTGACTTGGGTCTATTTGAACCCAATTTTGAGTTTTGTGGAACCCAATGATCTAGGTTCATTTGAACCCAGTTTTGGGTTTTGCGGAACCCAATGATCTGGGTTCGTTTGAACCCAAAACACTAGGTTTGTTTGAACCCAAAACACTAGGTTCGTTTGAACCTAGTTCTGGGTTATGCAGAACCCAAAAATTTGCGTTCGTTTGAACCTAGATCTTGGTATCGTGGAACCCAGTGATTTGGGTTTGTTTGAACCCAGAAAACTGGGTTCATTTGAACCCAGATTCGGGTTTTGCAGAACCCAACGATCTGGGTTCATTTGAACACAGTTCTGAGTTCCATAGAACCTAGCAACATAGGTTTAAGGAACTTGAATTTTTGGGTTTTCAAACCCATGTTTATAGATTTTTTTCTTTGTTTGATGGATTTTTGTTTTGAAAATTGTGGTTGTGGGATGGCAATTTAGTATTATGAATGTTGCAAAATTTTGTTTATATGTTTTGGTTTGGCTATTTCTCTTGTGAATATGTGATCATTAAGCTGGATTGAAGTAGTATGAATTTTCAAGGTTTTGATTTGGTTTTATTGCAAGTTAATCATCGGTGTAGAAAAAGAGAGAAATTTATTAAATCTTGATTTGGGTTTTGTTGTTAGATTTCATTTTGATTTTGTACAATCAAAAAGATTATGTTGGTTTAGAACAAGTTTAATTATAATTAATAGTTTTAGTTATTTAAATTAATAAGTGTTTAATCTTAATATTACTATGTAAGCCTTTTCTTTTTGGTTGAATTATCCATGTCAGTACCTTTTTAAGTTTTGCTCTTCATGTTATAAAAAAATATAAAAAATGCCACGTGGACAGAGATAACAACCCAAATTGATAGAAGGATCAGCGTTATGCACTTCTTAGAGTTAAGGGATAAAAAAATGCAAAAAAAAATGTTAAGGGACCCAAAAAGTGCAAATATATAAAGTTGAGGGACCAAAATTAATATTT